TTTGGGGGCATTTGGGGACCTCTCGGGGCCTCCTGGGCGCTTCTTGGGGCCATTTTGGAGGAGATCTATCAAAGTCAGGGGGGGGGGGAATTAGCAGGCCAAAACCTAAGTAACATCAGTGATTTTGGCCTTTCTCGCCGAGGCCATCTTGGACGCCCCGACGACCCGCGGGCCCCCCCGTCCAGGTCCACGGGATGGAGTAGGGGGAGGGGTCCCCCCCCCCAAAGGGGAGGAAGGAGGGGTGGTAGAGGAAACGCTCTAAACCACCGACGCCCAGAGGGCTGGTGGGACTTTGTCAACCACGAGCGAGCGCACAGGCCGTCTGGCGGGCTAGATGGATACCTTGCGCCGCCAGGTTCAGCATCTGAGCGGGAACGTGGCCGATCTTCAAGCTTTTGTGATGGGCGTGCGGCGCCAGGGCTAGCACGCCGTAGGTGCTCTGGATCTGGCCCTGCGCGCCCTCAGGATGCGACGTCATGCGTGGAAGAAAAACTACCCCAAGTCGGCCGACAGAAGGGGGGGCACGAACCAACAGTCCGAGCCTTCCTCCCCAAGAGGCTCCCGGGAAGCCCCGAGACCCCAAACAGGCCCGAAGGAGGCGCCAAGAGGTCCAAGGCGGCGAGGTCCCGAGAGGCCCCGAGAGGGCCCATGGAACCCCAACGTCGCTCCGAATTGTCCCCCGAAAGGCTCTCCAAGAACCCCCCCGCAACGTGGCCTTAGCGAGGTTCCCTGGACCGTCAGGGGGCCGCGCAGTCTTCGCGAAATTCTGGCATGGAGCATCCGAGTCGTGCTCTTCATCATTGCGCTTCATTTCGCCGCCGACGTCATCCAGACGTTCCCAGAGACGCTTCGGGGATCACGGGCGCGCTCTTGGAGGCCCGCTTCCCAGAGGCGCGGCTCGGGGGAGAGAACGGGCGCGCTCTTGGAGGCCACGCATTCTGCCGGAGTTCTGGGGCCAACATCAGGGCCGCGCCGCTTCATCATTGCACTCCTCATCGCCGTACTTGTGTCATGTTCCCGGATGGGCATCCGGGAAGATCTGTCCGACTGCACTGCTTGAGGCAGAATTTGGGACCCAGGTGCGGCCGGGTGGGCATAGGGCATAGCTTGGGAAGGCTCCTGGGAGCACTTCGTTTTCGTGACCGTCGTCGCCCCCGTCTTCATTTTCATCGTTTCGGCTCATCATCGACAGTTTCGTCGCCATTATCGCTTGCAGCGGGCGAACACATATCACTATCGCCACCCACCAAAACCATTATCATCATTTTCCTTGCAGTCGTAACTATCAGCACGAGCCTCCGTCCAATGAGAAGCGCCCGTACCATCGTCGTCATGTCGTCCACCAATTGTTCCCAAAGAGGTCTTCGGGAACGTCGACGCGCATGCACGTTTCAGGGGGGCATCTCTCGGGTGAGGGTGGCTCGGAATGGGCCCTTTGAGGTCTGATTCAATCTCTTGGGGCTCCTGCGAGAACATCGGTGTTTTTTGTTTTGATGCGTGGCCTCCGTGCGTTTCTCGGGGTAGGCAGGCCTGTGACAGCGTGGAGGGTTATTCCAAGCTCCGGTGTCTTCGGAAGGGGTAACCCACATGAGAAGAAGCAGGACGCGGTGGATGACCACTTGGAGGAGCATCAGGCCCTCGACACCCAGTCGTTTAAACTTGGGATGCGCCCTGCACCTCCGAGCTCAGGCGGGCGCGCGTGAAAGCTCGAACCTGGAACTTCGAGAATCGAGTTTGCACGTTTCGTCTCGTCCTCCCCTCCCATCCCCAGGGTTCCCAAGTGGCGGTCAAGAGCCCAAAGCGATGGAGAAATCGCTCAACAACGGACGGAATCAGATTGAGGGGGCCGAGCGGTCATTCATTGTCCGTGGGTGCGTGGCTGTATAAGGAATCCGTGGTGCAAATTATGGTTGTTGCACTGTGGTTATTGGTGTTGTTGTTGTTGGTGACGTAGTTGTTGGTGTTGTTGTTGGTGTTGGTGTTGGTGTTAGTTTTGTTGTTGCTGTTGTTGATGATGTTGTTCTTGATGTTGGTGGAGTTGTTGGTGGTGGTGGTGTTGTTGTTGCTGTTGTTGTTGTTGTTGTTGTTGTTGTTGTTGTTTTTGTTGTTGTTGTTATTGTTGTTGTTGTTGTTGTCGTTGTTGTTGTTGTTGGTGGTGGTGTTGTTGTTGTTATTGTTGTTGTTGTTGTTGTTGTTGTTGTTGTTGTTGTTGTTGTCGTCGTTGTTGTTGTTGTTGTTGTTGTTGTTGTTGTTGTTGTTTTTGTTTGTCGTCGTCGCACCCGCGACCCACCCGCGATCCACCCCGCGACCCACCCCGCGACACACCCCGCGACCCAACCCGCGACCCGCCCCGCGACCCACCCGCGACCAAACCCGCGACCCACCCGCGACCCACCCCTCGATCCACCCGCGACCCACCCGCGACCCACCCGCGACCCACACCGCGACCCACCCGCGACCCACCCCGCGACCCGTCCGCGACCCATCCGCGACCCACCCGCGACCCACCCCGCGACCCACCCGCGACCCACCCCGCTACCCACCCTTCAGGGAGGAAAAACGGACCCGACAAATGACGTTTACTAAAACGGCTTTGGGCGTTGATTAAAGAACCCTGCCCCATTCGATTCATTCCATGCGTGCGTTTACTAACGGCGCCGCTTGTCAGGTTGATTCTTATGTGGTGGGTTTTCTGTCCTCTACTACACCCGCGACCCGATTGCGACCCACCCGCGACCCACTTGCGACTTACCCGCGACCCAGCCACATTGGTTTGACGAACAAATCGGCGCCGGCGGCGGGTTCGTTGCATGATTTGTGAAACTTTGGCGCTTGCGGCGGGCTTCTCCGGAGTCTCGCAAACTACCGACGTTCTCACCGCCCCCCTCATTTTGATCCGCATCTACGGGGTGCTACGGTAATGCCCATTATCGCCGAAATTAAAGAAATTCCCTCGTGAGTGGAGGGGCAGCGCTGGCAGACGCGCCCGACTCCTTTTGAGTGTTTGTGTTTGACGCGCAGAGTTCACGGAGCCTCGTGTTTTGCCCGAGGTGGGAATTCATACATGACCACCGCTCGGAGGATCAATTTCCGGGGATCTCGGCAGGCGGTGGATATGGATATATTCGGGCCCCCGGGGGGGAAAACTATATCCGTATCCACCGCCCGCTGCCTCCTCCTTCTCTTCCTCCTCCACCTCCTCCTCCTCCTCCTCGTCCTCCCCCTCCTCCCCCTCCTCCCCCTCCTCCTCCTCTTCCTTCTATCCACCTCCTCATCATGCTCCTTCTCCTTCTCCTCCTCCTTTACCTCCTCCTCCTCCTCTCCCTCCTCGTCTTCACTCTATCTTTCGCCTCCTCCCCCTCCTCCGCCTCCCCCTCCTCTGGCTTCTCCTCCTCCTCTTCACGCTATCCTCCTCCTCCTCCTCCTCCTCCTCCTCCTCCTCCTCCTCCTCCTCCTCCTCCTCCTCCTCACAGTCGGCCCAGATTGTTAGGTCGATCCTGCCAATTCAAGGGTACACTACTTTCCTGTGTCTCGCGACCCATGCCTCCTACATTCCTTCAATGGGAGCCCCTGCCAAGAAACATCCTGCTTGCATCCAGGGTGCCCTGGGTTTCTTCGGTTTCGATGGTTTTTCCATGGAAAACGTGACCTTCCCACACCAAAAATCAATGAACGTCCTGGGGTCTCAGGGTTGGGGTTCTTCTGGGAGGTCTCTTGTGGTCGGGCCCCTACTGTAGTAGGTTGTCCATGCCAATTCAAGGATACCCCAGTGTCCTGTGTCTCGCGACCCATGCCTCCTACATTCCTACGGCAGTGTGGCCCTCGGAAGGGTCTTGTGTCCCCTCGCGTGCCCTGCTCGGTCAAGTCCGACTGTAAGAAGGCCTCCAGGAAGCCTCGGGGCCCTTCTGAGAAGGCCCTTGCCTCCTGAGAAGCCCCCTTGGCCCCTCTTTTTTAAAACCTAGAGATCCGACGTCGCGAACAAAAATGCAACACCGCCGACATTCGCGGCCGGAGCCCATCTTCCCGCAGCAGTGTGCGAGTCCGATCGATTCGCGAGGGCCCCGGGGCTCGAGACCGGGCGAACACGCCCCGTGTGACGAAGATGCGACGCCAGGAGCTCAGGGTTCGATCCCAAAGACGGACCACGCAAACGATGACGGTTCGGTGTCTGTTCATGGGAGCCTTGGGCGGCGACGCTGAAATCAGCTTTTCCTGCATTTGGACCGCGTGGGGACCACATTTGGCCCATCCTCCTGCTCCTCCTCCCCCCTCCTGTTCCCCCTCCCCTCCTCGTTCTCCTAGTCCCCGTGAGTCCAGTCCAAATCTGGTCCAAATCCTGTCCAAATTTGTTCCACATCTGGTCCAAATCAGACCCGAATTGGACAGCGCCGGAGGCCACGCAGGCTCCCATGGAACGGACACCAAATGACGGCCATGGCGAGGGTGCCCCCGCGCGGATGTCTTGGATCCGCGTTGTGCCCCCCCCCCTCGTGGCGCGCGGATCGGCCCGCCGTGGGCCCGGCGCCGCTGCCTGGCTCCCGCGCGGGGCTCGGGAAGGTTCTCTGCACGGCGTTGCTTTCTTCCTCTGGTCTTCAGTCGGGCTTGTCCCTCCACAGGGGGGGAATTTCAAAAACTAGTCAAACCATAGTCTGGGGAAGATTTTGTTCTGCTATTTCTTGAGTAGGTTGGAGTATTCTTGTTGTGTGTTTAATTTTTCGTCGGAAATCGGCATGTAGGGGACAGGCCCGACCTAACTCTGGTCAGAACCCCATTCGTGAATTGTCTGTTTTCGGTTCTCGAGAGGGCGCCGCGGCCGTCATTTCCCAGGCTTGCGCCCGCCAGGTTTGGGTCCGAGGTTGTTTTCACTAAACCACGTTTTGCTAAAGAGGGTTCTGTGCATTGCCGATCCTCTGGTCATCAGACGCCCCCCAAACCCTTCAAAGACCGACCACACAAACGACGCCGCCGACGACGACGACGACGACGGCAGCCGGCGGGAGGAGCTCGAGGGGCTGCCTGACGCGGAGGTCTGGCGGGTCCGCGTGTACGCGGGGCTCCGCAGGGTCGTCCACGACGTGCGCGCGCAGGGACCGGCGCTGCTGGAGCTGCTGAACCAGGACGGCGTCGTCGGCGACGGCGGCGGTGGCGACGGCGGCGACGACGACGACGATGGCAAGGTGACCGTTCCGATACCGCTAGCATTCTCATCGTTTGTCGCCTTTTGGGGGCCCCCCTGGGAGGCCCTCGTCGCCACGGCTGTGCTCGCCTCAGGATCCTGGCCACAACGCACCCTGGCAGAGGTCTGGGGAATAGCGGTGTCGGTGCCGTTTCGTTTCCCCGCTTCTGTTGCATCGTTGGGGGGCTCTGTCTGTCCTGCAAGCTGCGGATTCCGCGTAGTCTCGACGTGGTTTCGACGCGGATTAGGCATGGATTCGACGCGGAATCGACGCTGAGCCAGGACGGCGTCGCCGCGACGGCGGTGGCGGCGGCGATAGCGACAGCGACCTCGTCCACCAGCTCTCCCTTCCCCTGAGATCTGAGCGAGGCAACGTGGCAGTTTTCTGTAGATTTTGGCGGGTTTGCTTGCGAGGAGGGGGGGGGAAACAACGGGGCCCGGAAGGAGACGTCAGGACGTCACGCGAGTCGTGACTCAGTTGCACGCCCGTTCGGCCCAGCGCTGTTTGGAAAGGCGGCTGCAGGGGGGGGGGTGAGCGCCACGCAGGTAAATTTGCTTGTGTCCACAGAAAAGAGGCCTCATTTGTGTCACGCTAGGCCTTGCCCTGGGACCCTCACATATCGATCCGCCTCGAAAAAATGGGGAAGGAATATGGGATTTACCTAGGACTCTGGTTGCTTCTGTTCGCGATGTTGTTTTTGTTGCTGGGCCAGGACGGCAGGTGCTTCTGTGTGATTGGTTGCTCTGGGTGCCCTCGCATGGGCCCGGGGCCGTCAACAAATGCTTCTAAATAGGATTCACGATCCCGAAGACAGGGTCCAGACCACCCTCCTCTTGTCGAAGAAGGAGAATCTGCATAACATACGGTGTCGGACCTCCGACAGTTAGTTCATGGTGATGAGACCTCCTTGCGCTTCTTGTGCCAATACCGCTAGCATTCCCTTCGTGTTCGCCTCTTTGAGGGCTCCTGGGATGTCCTCGTCGCCACGGCTTGATTTTTTGTCAAAGCATTCACCGGGAGCTATCCAAGGAGCAGCAAGAGGAGGAGAAGGAGGAGGAGCAGGACGAGGAGGAGGAGAAGGAGGAGGAGGAGGAGGAGGGATAGGTGGAGAAGAAGGAGGGAGAGGAGGAGGAGAGGAGGAGGAGGGGGAGGAGGAGGCGAGGAGGAGGAGGTAGATGGAGGAGGAGGAGGAGGAGGAGGAGGAGGAGGAGGAGGAAGAGGAGGAGGAGGCGGAGGGGGGTATCGGTATATGTTGGTTTCCCCACCACCTCCTCGTGTCCCTCCCTCCCTCCTTGCTCCACGTCCTTCTCCGCCTGCTCCGTCGCCTTCTCTCCAAGGCGCGCATTGCATCCCGGGCTCGTTTTTTTCCCCGAGCCGCAGGAACTGGTCGGGCAGGACGGGCGGTGTCGCCCCAGGCAGGCCCGATGCGACGAGAGGTGGTTTCCGTGCCTGGTGCTGCCCGCCGAGACGTCAGAGAATCCCCCTTGAGGCGAGTGCGTTCCGCCTCCTCCGCTCATTCATCCCCCCTTCTCCCCAGCGCGAACACAACAACACCCCTGGATCCGGGCGGCCACGCATGATGATCGGTGGGGAAGACATGACGCCGCCAATGCTTCACAGCACTGTCTTGTTATGTATCTTCGGGGGTGGGCAGACCTCCTACCTTGACACGTCGATTAAGGAATTGGCCGTTTTCGGTTCGCGAGAGGGCGTCGCGGCCGTCTTTTTTGCGGGTCCAGGTTCGTCGATTTCGGTCTCTGGCCGTTTTCACTATGGGGAGGTTTACTAAAGGGAGGTTTGTCCACCGCCGAAATATTGCGGCTACTGCCTCCACTGCCACGCCCTAACGGGCGCGCGCGAGCGCCCACGCGGCGCGCGCGCGGGTCCGGCGTTCGCTTCACTTCGCTTCCCTCCTCCGCATCCTCCGGCGGCCGCGCACTGGAGGAGAGCAGGGGTGCGGGAAAGAGGAGGACGAGGAGGAGCCGAGGGGAGCGAGAGGGTTCGAGAACGAGACGAGGGGGAGTCGAGGGGTGGGGCATCACCCGGGGACACGAAGTCGCCCCTGGTGTCGCGGCCCCCTCGTTTTGTTTGAATATGTCCCCTGGCCTCTCTTTTCGTCCGTGCACGTGCCTCGGACCATGATCTGCCCCCCCCCCGCTTGGACGCCCCTCGTGGATGCCCCGCAGGGAGGAGGAGAAGGAGGGGGGGAGGGGGAGGAACAGCATGAGGAGGAGGAGGAGGAGGAGGAGGAGGAGGAGGAGGAGGAGGAGGAGGAGGAGGAGGAGGGAGGCGGGAGGGGGGGGGAGGGGGAGGGGGAGGGGGAGGAGGAGGAGGAGAATGAGGATGAGGTGCAGGATGAGCAGAAGAAGGGTCGATCATATCCAGACATTCGGGCCGTTCTCGGCCTCCTGAAGCGCCCTCACCTTCGTGGCCAGGTTCGCCTCGAAACTCTCTTCAGAGCTTACCCTCCTTGGGCAGGTTTGAGAAAGGATTTCGAAGGAGGGAGGGGCTCGGGCTCAGAATGACGACGTTGAGGCAGTAGGAGAGGGGCCATATTTTCTGGTTGCCTCGTAGATTTGCGATTGGTTTTCTGAAATTTCCGAATGGTTTCGGGCTCTCCGAAGGGTGCTGGCGGCGTTCGGGCGTCATCCCCAGAGGTCTCCCTGCGTGTGAGGCGGAGGATCCTGTGGGCGGCGTGGCGTTGCTATCTTGGGGGAGGAGGCAGGGGCTTAGCTGGCCCCGGAAACGACGATTTGTTTCGCCTTTTTCAGGAGGTTGCCTCTGGAACTTGAAAGCTGTACACAGATTACTCCCGGAACTGGGGACCTAAACGGCTCCATGATTGGAATTATAACTGGAAGCGGAAAAACGGTGGCGCCGAGATTAGGAAAAGATGGCGCCAGAAACGCCAACCGACACGGCCATACGGGACCGGCCACAAAAACTGTTTGTCGTTCCCATTACCAGTTTGACACATATCCCTATCCCCGTGTGTGGCTGGCATCACCTCACCTCGATGCCGATCTCAAGGATGCCCTCAGTGTCTGAGGGCGCATACCTACGGTTCTGATTGTCCTCGCTTTTGGCTCGCCCATCTTAGGGATAGGGATAAGTTCGAGGCTGGCTAGTCCAGGGCCCCCTTGGAGGCAGGAGGAGGAGAGGGAGCAGGAGAAGGGGGATGGATTCTCTCTCTCTCTCTCTCTCGCAGGGTCTTCGGGCGTCCCCACGGGCCGCCGCGCCTCGCCCGACGCGCGGCCGCGCTGTCGGGGCCGACGTGGGACCGAACCCTTCCAGAGCTTTGGGGGCGGCGTGGGGGGGGCCGCCCACTGTCTATACACTCCCGAGGCTCCAAAGGGAGGGGCAGCAAGGAGACGGAGATGTGTGCGGCAGGGCCGCTCGGGGGGGGGGGAATCTTCCTCCTCTTCCTCTTTTTTGGGGGGGCCCACTGGTCCCCCATCCCCGCGCGTCCACGGCTGGGCGCTGCTGATGGAGCGCCTGGGCCAGAGGTTCATGGCCAGGACGGCGGTCTCCGAAGCGCCTTCTGTTGATCCCCCAAGGCGCTTGCAGTCGGCCGCGCCCTGTCACAGCTTCTCTTGGGGAGCCTGGGATCCTGGGAGCCACACATTCACACCCGCACAAACGCACACACATCTACTTGCACACACGCGCAGACCTTTAGCGTCACGGCCATGCTCGCGGCGGCTCGGCACGGGTCAGGTCAAGCGCGTGTGCGCGCGCCGGCCCCGCTCGCGCAGCGAGGAGTAACTGGGTCCACCCATAGGGGATCGACAAAACAACTGCGGGGGGGACACGAGGGAACAGACGGGGGGAACAGGGGAAAGAGGAGACCAGGGGGAAGACGGGGCAGCGCGGCGGTGCCGAGCCGAAGCAGGAAGAGAGGCGCAGCCGGGGGCGGCAACGGCAGTCAATTAAGACGGACACACACACACACACACACGCATACGCAAACATATATATATATATACATATACACATATATATATATATGTGCATGTTTTATGTCGGCGGCTACGCAGAATAACTGCGATTGCGGAAGAGCTAACTAAACAGGGCCACCGTTGTAGCGAATTGTGCCACAATGCAAGAGAGGCGGACACACACACACACACACCCTTCGAGTAGGAGATCGACTGCAAAATTGATGTACCCAAACTTCGTTTTTGTATCTTTCGATCCCGCGGGAGAAGAAATATATAATGTTCGTAGATCTAGGAAGCTTCTACGCTGTTCAGTAGAGGCTACTGACACTTCAGGGGTACACGTGAGCTCTGCGGCCGATCTCCTCCTCGAATTCGTGCACGCACACATGCACGCACCTATGCAGTTGGTTGTGCTGCCGCCCGCCGCCGAGGACAGCAGCCCCGCCGCCCGCGTGCTGGAACTCCTCGGCGCCCCCTCGCTGGCGGCCCTGGGCGCCACGGCCAGGGCGTGGCGCGGCATGCCCAGCTGGTCGGGGCCAGGGGCGGTGGGCCGCTGGGGGTTCCGAGGATCGAGGATCGGCTCCGAGCGAGGGGGGGAAGTCAGAAGCAGAAGGCCTTCCCAGAAGGCGGCGAGACTTCTCGGAAGCCCTCCAGCCTTTGAGAAGTCTTCTGTGTCTACGGGGGGGGCTCAGAACACTTGTTAGAAGGCCGGGGGACTTCCGAGCCTTCTGAGAAGGCCCGCCCGTTCTCATTTCCCCCCCAGGCTCGCCGCCGAGAGGAAGGAACGACTGCATACGTACACAGAAATTCCCCCGGAGCTCCGCGCGGATTCCGTGGACCGGCGTGGGGCCCCCGCTCAGGCGCCCCTCCTTGGCGCGCTCCGAGGTTCAGCGCCGATCCGAAGCATCCGCTCGGAGCTCCGAGAGTTTCTGCTCTACGCTCTGGTTTTATAACCCCCTCGCGCCGTGAAAAAACGAGACGCCCCCGGGCGCGTCAGAGGACGACTCGGGATGGACAGCCTGGGCCAGGGGGAGTGGGTCGAGACCTTCGGGGGTCGACGTTTGTGAAGCCATCGTGGCGTCGGGGTCGGGCTCGACGGAGGAAACGAAGGGTAGGAGGTCAAAACAGGGCGGGGAAGGAGAAGGAGGGAGGGGGAGGAGGAACGACGTGGAGGTGCAGGGGAGAGAGAGGGGGGGGAAGGAGCGGGGAGGAAGGGGAGGCGGGAAGCAGCTCAAGCGGGGGGAGGCGACGCAGAGTCTGGTTACCGCCACCGAGAACCCATCCCCGGGGGGGAGGGACTCACTCCCGAGGCGGCGCACGCCGGAGACGTGCCCAGTGCTGCGCTGCGCTCGCGCGTGCCGCCGCCCAGGGGGCTCGGCCGAGTTCCCGCCCCGAGAGGCTCTCGGCGGCGGTGGCCTCGTTGCTTCTTGTCTGATCACCGAGGAGAAAAGAACCCCTACAGTCAACCCGCACAGTGAGGGTGGGCAACCTTCCCAAGGGGACCCTTGCATCCTTGCCTCCTCGGCCCATCCTTGGCCACTTTTGTTGGCCGCGCCCCGCTCGAAGGGATTCGAAAAGGGGCCTCCGAGGCCCTTGCGTCCTTATCGCGCATCCTTACTGTACGGGTTGACTGTAACCCGAATAACACGATGAAGATGTAGCCTCACTGAGGTCCCCGTCTTCGCATCAGGGATCGTCTATCTGGGCGGTTTGGTCTTCGCAGAGACCTCATGTCCCTAATGTTCGTGGCCGTCCTGATTGAGGTCCCTTCCCAAAGGGTTTGGGGTCCTTTTTTGGTTCATCAGCTGAGGAGCCTAGATCATTGGATACCGAATTTTCTCGGTCGCGACCAGTGGCGGCAGATCGGCACTCCAAATCGGTCGCGGCCGATCGCGACCGATCCCAAAAGCGGTCGCGACTGGTCGCCAACGATGGCGACCGATCGGCCGCGACCGATTTTGAAGCAAATCGGTCGCGACCGATACCGACATTGGAAGCAAAATCGTTAGCGACCGATCTCGTCGATCGCGACTGGCAAATTCCAGTGTTCAATGACTTGGCATCGCTCGAACGTGTGCATTTTTTCTCGGCGGGAACCATCGAGGACCATCCTGGATCATCGAGCAACGAAAAACACGCACGAAATCAAAAAATGCACGGGAAATGGTTGTCCGAGCGACGGCAAGATGATCAGTGGGGGTGGCGTGGCCGGGCCCTGCGCCCTCCAACGAAAAAGCCCCCCTCGGATCTGTAATTGCGCCGCGTTGCACCCCTGCGGCTGCACGGCTCTCTGGCGCGGGACCCGGCGCAGTTGTGGCTGCCCACGGCGCACATCGCGATGCGGGGTAGAAGTGCGCTTGCAGCTGGCCGGTGGAGCACAGCGCGGGGAAGGCTCCGTGGCCACGAGATCAGTGATAAGGCGGCGCCGTGCCGAAATTACCTGGCTCTTGCGCTAAGGGGCCCCGACCCATCAGGGCTGGGCATGGTCAGCCAATGTAACTCTAAGTCGGGCTTGTCCCTCTACAGGGGAAAGATTCGAAAATAGTCAAAACATTGTATAGGGACTATTTGTTGTTTTTATTGACCATTTGGGAATATGTTTTTAGTATGTTTTATGTTTCGTCGGAAATTCCCCTGTAGGGGACGCGCCCGACTTAAATGTAGCTCCCGATTCGTGCCTCGGGGGCCCCAGCTGGAGTTGCCCCGGAGCAGAGTTATCCCGGATAGCTCGGGCGCCCAAATGCCCGGCTCTTCGTGGCTGGGTGTGGTCAGGGGTAGCTTTAAGTCGGGCCTGTCCTTTTGCAGTCGGGAATATTCGAATATATGGAAAAATAGTATGGGGATGATTTTTTGATTATGTGTTGCCTTTTTTATGGCATGTTTGGACTATTTTCTATTTTTCGTCCACAATCCTCCTGTAGGGGTACAGGCCCGACTTAAGGGTAGCTGTTGGTGCGTGCGCCACGGGCCCAAGCCAGAGTTACCCCAGACCGCAGCCATCCTGGAAAACCCGGGCGTCCGAAGCTCGGATGGTGTTCGAAGTGCTCCTGGCCCGAGGTGTCCCCAGGGTTTCGAAGTTGGCCCCCATGGTCTCCAGAGGACCCACCCCTTCACGAGGCCCAGAGGACCCCTCACGAGGCTCCAACATTGAGCGAAAAGGTGGGGACATCCAGGGGCTCCAGCATTGAGCGAAAAGCTGGGGGTCACCCTGGCCCAGGGACGCCTTTTTGACATCCCCCGAAATATGCCAGTCCATTCCCCGTGCGCGCTCTGGCCGCACGGGGGGGGGAGCTCCCCCATGATGGGCCAACTTTCCACCACCAGTACCATAGGCAGGACCGGGGAGAAGGGAGGATGGGGAGGTCCTCCTCCTCCTCCTCCTTCTCCTCCTCCTCCTCCTCCTCTCCTCCTCCTCCTCTTCCTCCGACTCCTCTCCTCCTCCTCCTCTCCCATCCTCCTCACTCCCCCTCCTCCTACTCTCCCCCCCTCTTCCTCCCTATCCCCTCATCCTCCTCCTCCTCCTCCTCCTCCCCTCTCTCCTCCTACTCTCCGCCTCCCTCCTCCCTCCTCCTCCTACCTCCTCCCTCCGCCTTCCTCCTCTCTCCTCCTCCCTCCTCCTTTCTCCCTCCTCTCCTCCTCCTCCTCTCCTCCTCCTCCTCCTCCTACCTCCTCCTCCTCCCCCTCCTCCCTCCTCTCTTCCTCCTCCGCCTCTCCTCCTCCATCCTCCTCCTCCTCCACCCTCCTCTCCTCCTCCTCTCATTCCTTCTCATACCTCCTCCCCTCCCCCCTCCTCCTTCCTCCTCCTCCACTCCTCCTCCTCCCTCTCCTCATCCTCCCTCCTCCTCACTCTCTCCCTCCTCTCCTTCCTCCTCCTCCCTCCTCCTGCCTCCCTCCTCTCCTCCTTACCTCCTCCTCCTCCTCCTCCTCCTTTTACCCTACCTCCTCCCCTCCTCCTCCTTCCTCCTCCCACCTCCTCCCCTCCTCCTTCCTTCCTCCTCCTCCTTCCTCCTCTCCCCTCCTCCTCCTCCCTCCCTCCCTCTCCTCCTCCTCCTCCTCCTCCTCCTCCTCCCCTCTCCTCCTCCTCCTCCTCCTCCTCCCCCCCTCCTCCTCCTCCTCCTCCCCTACCTCCTCCTCCCTCCTCCTCCTTCCTCCTCCTCATCCTCCTCCTCCTATTCCTCCTCAATCCTCCTCCTCCTCCTCCTCCTCCTCCTCCTCTCCTACCTGTGGCAGTGGTAGGGGAACATAGGCTCATCACCCCAGAAGGGGCCGCGGGCAGGCCCAGGAGCCAGCCCCGCCAGCAGCAAGCATCGCCCGCCGCGTGGCCCGCTCGAGAAGCAGATGTCGGGCGATCGCAAACACGGACCCTCGAGGCTCGAGGCAGCCTCGAGGCCTCGAGGTTTGAGGCGTCGAGGTCCGAGGTTTCGAGGTTTCCAGGTTCGGGGTGAGAGGTTTGAGGCTTCGAGGTCCGAGGCTTCGACACACGCTTGCTCCGGTCAGGCGATCGCAAACACGGATCAAGGGGGCGCGGATGAGCGACGGGTTCCGTTTCCATGGCTAATCGCGGCTGTCCGCCGCCGAGCGAGGCGGCGATGGCCGCATTCTGGGGAGGGCATTTCCCCCGATCCGTGGATTTGGCGACCGCGCGCCAAATCCATGGATCGCTTATCCATGCTTGCGCGCCCCCGAAGATGGGGGTGCAAATGCACTCGCCCCCAAAATGGTTGACGCTTCGCGTATCCCCACTGGCCGTTGCTCGCCTCTCTGTTTTTCCCTAAGCTGGTGGCACGGCCTACCCCTGCTTGCACGGCGTTCGACCCGCTTCGCGCGCCCGCGTGCCAAAAAGTATCCTCACCAGCCCATCCACGCGGGGGAGCTGGAACCACGTGTTGTTCACATGTGCGGGCCACCCACGGGGGTATCTAACATGTGGTCGTCTGGGCGCACCAAGCGGGGGGGGCGCACAAGGTCAGACAAAGTCAACACATTGACGCCATGTGTGTCATGGCTTAAAGCAGTCACTTAGGCTGATTTACCAGATTTTCCCCTGGGGTCTCGAACATGATGGTATCCCCGAAACAGAACCACGTGTTTTCCTCTGCCCAGGTAACCCAGAAGGGTATCTAACATGGTGGCCCCGAGATGGAACTAGTGTTTTCACACGTCCAGGCCACCAAGAGGGGTATCTAACATGGTTGCCCTGGGCTGGAAACACGTTTTTTTTACGTGCGTAGGCCACCCGGGGCGGAGCTTCTAGCATGGTTGCCCCGAGCTAGAACTACGTTTTTTCATCACCACTGTCCGTCTCTGGGTGGCCAGGACACGTGAAAATACATGGTTCTTACCGCCCCAGGGCGGGACAAGCGTGAAATCACATGTAATCCTAACGCCCCAAAGCGGGACGGCGTACGCCCCCTTGCCATTCGGCGCGTTCTTTGGTTCGTCTTGTGTCGCGTTCCTTGGCTTGTCCCCTGGCGCTTTCCCTGCCCGTGGCGCGTCCTTTGCCAAGCACCCTGACACGTCCCGTGGCGCATCCCCTACGCATTCCGTGGCGCGTCCATGCGCCCTGCGTCCCGTGTCGTCTCGTCCCACTTCCGCATTGAGTCGGATTTTGAGCTCGAGCTGGTTGAGCGTCCCACACGTTTCGACTGCAACCAGATTTGGGCAAGTTATGAGTTCACACAGCTCGAGGCTAAGATCGCGATCAGTTCGTACAACCTCTGGCGCGGTACATCACGATCGATATTTTCAGTATTGCAGTTGCCTCTCACTCAATCAGGTGTCCTGAAAACGTAGGCATGCCGTCACATTCCTTCCTCTCCGGGTTCGTGGGTCGATCACGTTTTGTTGTGTGTAGAGGTGATTGTGCATGTGAGCAGGCCGAAAAACAGCTTCGACAGAGCGATCATGTTTTGTCGTGTTTCGAGGTGGTTGTGCATGCGAGCAGGTCCAAAGGCGATTTCGACAGAGGGGTCCCATGCTGATCGTTTTGTGGTCCATCTCTGGTCGCCGTGACTGGTTTGAGTATGACGACGGGGGAGATCTTAGCAGCATTTTTCTTTGCGCCGCACGGGCCGAGCAGAGCGAGCAGGTCGGACCTCTGGTTCATCGCCGGCAAGGAGGACGCCTGCCCCGAGTGGGCGGCAGGGGGGGGGCAGGGATTCGCCCAGGTGGATTCAAGTCGGGCGTGTCCCTTTGCAGGAAGAATATCCAAGAACAATCCAACAAACAGTCAGGGGACGATTGTTCGACTGTTTTGTCCGTTGTTGTTGTTGCACATGTTTTGATCATGCCTTCTTTCCCTTCCAACACCCGCTAGTAGGAGGACATGCCCGACCCGAGGGTGGATGGGGGTGACCTCAAGGATGGAAAAAAAAACACAGACACAATTAATCTTCGATTCCCAGGAAAATATGGGAAAATATGGGAATTGGGGGGGAAGACAAAAACCCAGAAAGTATAGGAAAATATGGGGACTATTTTTATTTGTGTGTATTTGTTTGTGTGTCCTAAGTTCCCTTTAGACCTCAAGGATGGCGGGGCCGAGGATGGAGGCTGGCAGGACAGTAGCCTCACGGGGACCGACGGTCGTGAGTCGGCGGCGAGCCAAGGGGGCGGGGAGGCGGGGAGGTGGGAGGGCCTTCTCAGAGGGCTCGGGGGCCCCCCTGGCTCGGGGGCGGAAAAGAGGGGGGTGATGACTAGGGGGGGGTGGATTTCATGGCGGGGGCCATGATTTTTCCTCAGATTTCATGGCGCCTCTTCTTATTTTATTACGTCCCAGGCCCCCCCGCTGGGCCGCGCACATGTCGCCGGTCATGATTTGCACCCCCCCCTCTTGGACACCCCCCTCTTGGCCGCTCCCGACTGGCCTCCTGAGGAGTTGTCGAGGCCCTCTCCCCGAAGACGGGAGCAGCTTCTCAGAAAAAGCGCGGCGGTTTCCGAGGAGTCCCGCGGCCTTCTGAGGAGGCCTGCTCCCTTCTCCTGCTCACTTCTTCCACCCCTCGCTCGCCGCCGAGCGAGAGGATCGAGGCTGGGGCCCGTGCTGTATCCCCTGGCGAGAACGGCCGTTGCGGGGGGAGGAGGGGGAGGCAAAGGGGCTGACTGATGACGTCACGATTCCCGCCGGCGCCGTCTGGGGATCTGCTGCCCCTGATCCCTGACAGCTCGAGAACGGCGCCGGCGCGAACCGTAACGTTACCAGGCGAAGGGGGGGAGCGGGAGAGCCTCCCGGTAACGGCCGTCACGGCGCATCTTCAACCAGCGCGCTCATGGCAGGAACGCGGCCCCACGGGGCCCGAGGCGGCCCTCACCTGCCCCCCCGCGGCCCCTGCGGGGTCTGCAGGCCTCCCAGACGGGTTCCCAGCGGATGGGGTCGGAGGATCGCGCCGCATCGCCGATCCACCAGCGACGCTGGCGTGGAGAAAGCCAGGCTCCACATCCAGCCGCATCGGCGATGCGGAGCGACCCTCCGACCTCGTCTACTGGGACCCCATTTGAGAGGCCTACGCTTCCTGAAGCAACATCTCCCAACCGTGATTTACGACAGTTTATCTGAGCAGTGACGGAATATCTACGAACGGTCCACCGTGTTTCACTGAAGATTCGTCGATGTGGAACCTGATTCTCTCCACGCCGACGTCGCCGATGCACCGCGCCACGGGACACTACCAGGCACCGCAAGACACCACGGGACACCTGCGGGACACCCCCGGGCCACCGCCAGCCAACCGAGGGGAGGAGAGACATTGAGTACGGTTTCGCCCTAGTCAGGGCGGGATCATGTCTTTCACCCGCCCACGCAGCTCCGCCTCGCCCGCACGGACGACACTGAATCGGCACCGATTTCCCGTTGGCAGGCTCTCCCACTGCGATCTCACCCCCGAACCTCCGGTCATTCTCGTTAGCGTTATCATTGCCACCGCCGCCGTCATCGTGGTCGTCGTCAACGTCGTCTCCCGCATCAAGTGTCTGCGTGCGGGCACTTCGTCACCGCCATCATCACCAGCACCATCATCACCAGCACCATCATCACCAGCGCCATCATCATCATCATCATCATCATCATCATCATCATCATCATAATCTGCAGCCTCATCGTCGTCGTCGTTGTTGGTCCTCTTCATCGTCATCATCGCCAGCGTAATCGTTTCCCAGCCGTTCTCATCGCCAACGGCTTCATCGCCATCGCCATCACCATGGTCGTCGCCGTCGTCGACACGATCGTCAGCAGCGCCACCATCATAATCTTAATCATACTTGTCACCGACGAGTTGAGTTTTGCCAACTGCTTGCGATTGTTGGTTTTGCCAACCGCTTGCGAATTGGTTTTGCGAACCGCTTGCGGATATTTCACATGAGTAACAAAAATAGTCTGGGGACGACTTTCGAACATGTTTAGGCAATTGTTCTTTTTTCTTCCCAAACCCGCCTGTAGGAGGACATGCCCGACCTAACGCACGGGCCCCTGGGAGCCTTGGCACCCGTTCCTCCGCGCCCGTCCTCCATCCCAAGCGGATTGTTGACCACCCTTTGGGCCCAGGGCTGGCCCCTCCCGCAGGCAGGACGCGTCCAGCGGAGGACCGTCGCCACGCGTCGCCTGCAAGGGTCGGCCCCCTGGCCCGTGCCTCTGGCCAAAACTTCTGGGGGAATCCTCTACCCTTCGCTCGTTTTTACCTTTTTGGGCCTCCTTGGCGGCCCTCGTCACCACCGCCGGATTCGCCTCGAAATTCCGGTCAGAACGCGCCCCGGGAGATGTCCGAGGAGTAGCGGTAACGGTATCTCTTGGTTTCCCAAAATCTTGCCGTGGCGACCACAGGTTTGCTGTGGAGGTCCGACGAAGGGGGAAGAGTACCAGAGTACCACTTCTCGAAGTTCGATCTCGGACATGGGATGCAGTCAACCCGTATCACCAGGGCGCATTACAAGGATGCAGGGGTTTCGGAGAGGGCCATATCGACAATCTGCGAGCGGGGCCGCGGCCAGCGGAAGCGGCCCAGGATGGGCCGAATTGGACGGATGCATTATGAGGAAAATCCTGGAGGCCGCGCGCGGCGCGAAATAGTAGTATTACCCAGTTCATTCGTCATCTTCGTAAGCGATGGGTCGACGCTCGCGCGGCGATGCTCCGGAGTCAGTCCGACGTAAATCCGACGTAATTCTGAGATCGTCCGACGTGAACCCGACGCGAATCTGGCGTGGATCCGACGTAAATCGGGTCTCCAGTGGCCGCGCGAGGCCCCCAGGGTTTTCCTCATAAGATGCAAGGGTGACCCTGGAATTCAGGAGCGAAAGAAGGACGTACACGTACATGAGTCCACGCTGGTTCCGAGAGTACGCATTGCCCGAATGTTCGTATCACGCGGCCAGTCTCGCGGATCGAGGGGCCGCGTTCATGTACATAGCTGGGCGCGTACGTCCTTGGTGGGCTCCCCAGGAGCATCGCCCATCCCTGCTGTGCGCGGTTGACCGCATGAGCTCTGTCCGCGTTCGGATGGGAGGTGGCCTGGAGGCGCGCGCCCCCGAGCGCACGGGGCGCCAGGGCGGCCCGAGAAGCCCGAGCCTCGCAGAGCACACGCTGCACACCAGGTCTGCTCAGAGGACCTGATGCAGACCACGGTTGGGAGATGGTGACTGATCGGATAGCAGATCGTGGGAGCCCGGTTGTGCCCTGCCAAGTCCGTCCTTCGCGTCGATTAGCGTCGACGAGCGTCTCGGAGTCGATGAGATAGCGCCGATTTAGCGTCGATTAGCATCGACTTAGCGTCGATCAGCGTCGATTCGCAGGAGCCGACAAGATGGATTGGAGGCTTCAGCGAGTTGCTGCCGAAGATTGAGGAAGTCTGGGCCCCCGGGATGGGGTCCGAATGTATGAGGTCGGAGGACCGCATGGCCGATGCATCGGCGGTGCAGTTCGATGGAGAGCCAGGCTTTCTCGACGCCGGCGCCGCGGATGCGTCGATGCGGCGCGAGTCTCCCACCCCATCTGCTGGGATCCGTCTTGGATGCCCTCTACTAGCATCCCCATGGCCCATCCCCACTGGGCCATGGCTTTCCAGCCGCACCATCCCACCACCCCAGTTGGGGATGGGCCCCCTCGAAACCTCGCAGTGAGCAGCACACACACACACACATCTATGAACATATACATATATATAGATAGACATACATAGACATGTATACATATATTCAATTTGGCCCAGGCCGCGCCAGCGGGGACACAGTCAACTCGCATCAGAAGGATGGGCAACCTTCCCAAGGGTACCCTTGCATCCTTGCTCGGCCCATCGTTGGCGACTTGTCGCAGGCTGCGCCCCGCTCGCAAAGCTTCGAAGCAGCATTCCAAGGCCCTTGCATCCTTTATCGCGCATCCTTATGATACAGGCGGCCTCTGTGGATGTATACATATATATATAGAGAGAGATACATATACAAGGCTGCATACTCGCCTCAAGGTACGAGTGACATATACAAGGCTCCATTGGCGCTGCGCGCCATGCACCTTGGCCCTCTGAGTTTCGCACGTAAGCGGGGGACGTGCGTGCGTACATGCGCGCATGCATGTATACACGCGCACGCGCATGTACACTCTGCACATAGACCGATGTGTCTACCACACATGTATACTGTTGTAAATGTGTATACATATGACATATAAACATGCGTACGTATAGGTATATGTCAATCGCAGGTGTTTGTGGGTGCACACACCTGGATGTAATTATGGGTGCGCATACATATGCGTGTTTCAGGCGGTAATGGCCTGACCGCCTGCTCAGGGCACCTCGCAACTCAGAGGTGCGAGGGTATCAGGCGAAAGTAGCCAGACTACTACGGGGCAGTGCATCTCCGATGTCAGCGTTGCGAGTATGTTTCAAGCGAAAGTGAACTGACCACCTCAGCTGAGGACATACCCGAACCCGGAATTGCGAGGATGCCTCAAACGAAAATGGCCTGAACACCTCAGTTCAGGGCATCCCTGAATCCAAAGTTGCGAGGATGTCTCAGGTGAAAGTGGCGGACTATTCTGCGGCAGGGCATCTCGGAATCCAGAGTTGCGAGGACGTTTCTAGCGAAAGTGGCCAGAACACCTCAGCTTAGGGAACCCCGGAACCCAGAGTTGAGAAGGTCTCAAGACGAAGTGGCCGGACAACCCTGGGGCAGGGCTTCTCTGGGGTCAGAGTTGCGAGGATGTCTCAGCCGACAGTGGGAAGGAGGAAGGCGAAGGGAAAGAGTAATTGGAGGAGCCCCGCGGACCCGAGGACAGGCAGGCACGAACGCTCAGAATCGGAAGCCATGGCATGGAGGCTGTAACTGACGCTGACGCGGATGCAAGACGCTTGGAGCTGGCCTCCGAGAGCGTTGAAAGACAGGGTGACCTGAGAGGGACTCAACGACGGGCGAGGCCTTGTGAACGTGTCGGAGTGCTACGTGTCTGATTGCTACGCGGCAAGGCGTATCCGAGGTTGACGTTGCGAGGATGTCTCAGGCGAAACTGGCCCGAGAACACCTCAGGCCGGAAGGTCGAATCACCCCCTTTGCAAGAGCGTCCGAGCAGTCCCCGGGGAGTTTCCCAGCAGGTCGAGCAGCCCGGGAAGGGGCTGCCCAGCAGCCCGCGGAATCCGAAATGCGTTCGGGGGGGATGTGTGTGCACATGTGAATGTATTTTGCTTATGTATGCATGTGCGTGTGTATGTATGTATGTACGTATGGCTAGCGAATGACAACGCCTTCCAACGTCTGAATGTCCCAAGAGCGTTTGACGCTCATCTTACACGGTAATGTATGGTTAAACGATGGCTACATCCGTGCAGTAATTGCTTTGCAAGGAAATTCAATGTAAAAAGCTCTTGGGCCGTCTTGGGCCGTTCGTGGCCCGAAAAAGCGAAAACCGAAAAAACCTTCAAACCTTTTCGACCAGTCAATGAATTTTGCCTCTTTGGGCCTTCTTTGGGGCCCTTTTGGGCCGTTTTGGGACTGTCTTGAGCCGTTTTGGGGCCCTTTCGGGCCGTCTTGGGGCGTCTTGGAGGCCTTCGGCCGTCTTCGGGCTGCCTTGAGGGCCTCTTGGGGCCCTCTTGGGAGCCTCTTGGGGTGCTCCTGAGGCTCTCTTGGGGCCGTCTTGGGGCTCCCTTGGTAGTTTTCGGGCCCTCTTGGGTCGTCTAGGGGCACTCTTGGGCCGTTTGCGAGCCCTTTGGGGGGCCTCTGGGGCCGTGTTGGGACCATCTTTGGACGTTCTCGTCCTGGAAAAGTGAAAACCGAAAAAGCCTTCAAAAACCAAAGAATCAACAATGAATTTTACCTTTTCAGGCCCTCTTGGGAAGCCTCTTGGAAGCCTCTTGAGGCGTTTGGAAGCCATGTTGAAGGTTTTGGTGCGCTTTGGAACTGTCGACGAGCTGTCTTGGGCAATGTTGGAGGCCTCTTTGGACCTTTCGAGAAGGCCGGAAGGCCGGAGGAACCTTTTGCAAGGGCGTCCGAGCAGCCCGGGGGTGTGGGCTTCAAGCAGCCCAGGGAATCCGAAATTCGTTAGGTGTGGGGGGGGCGCTTTTTCCGGGGTCCCCGGCCTTTGAAAATATATGAATAGGAATACGTATATGCATATGTGTAGATCTATCTATATCCATGTACCTATATATATATATATATATATATATATGTATATATATATATATATATGTGTATGTATAGCCGTATCTAGGGGGGGTAGACCGGCCAGTGGGGCCCAGGCCGCGCCAGCGGGGGTAGGGATCGGATCCACGATGCCCAGAACGACGCCTTCAAGCCTCGATGTTCCCTTCGCCTCGAGCGGGCGGCGCGGAGGGGGGCGGCGGCGCCGGGCGGGGCGGGCGCCGCCGCCCCTCGGGCGGGTGGCAAGTGGGGGGGGTCCCAGCGGGGGGTTTGAGAAACGGACCTGCCAAGGGGCACTCCAGGGACGCTTTTGGGCCCCTGTCTGGCTGCAAGAGGGGCCCTGAAGGGCCCCTGGAGGGCCCTGCGCTTCGCTCCCCGTGTTCCCGGATAGCTCGCAGAGACAGCTGAGAGGGTTTCAGATTGAGAATCGGAGGGCACCAACTATACGCCTATGCCGATCCTGGCCAGGCCGATCCTAGGCCCAGGATCGGTGTCTACGCCTTCTGCCCATGGCAGGAGGGCGTATACACGGATCCTGGACCCCGGGTGAGCCTGGTCAGGATCGGTGTCGGTGTATAGCTGGGGCCTTCCTAAGGAAACCGGAGCCGCAGGTAACCCTGGAGCTCGTCCCGGCTTCCGGCAGGCATCCCCGGCGCAGGGTGCCCTGACCTTGCAGCGTGTCCCGAGAGGCCGTTTCGAAGTGTTTCCCAGTACGTCTGCCCAGAAGCTCTCCAGAAGCTCCTACCCTGACACCCTCCTACCCTGACACGTCGATTAAGGAATTGGCCGTTTTCGGTTCGCGAGGGGGCGTCGCGGTCGTCATTTTTGCGGGTACATGTCCGTCCGTGTCGGTCCCAGGCTGTTTTCACTAAAGGGTAGTTTGCTAAAGGGAGGTTTGTCCACCGCCGATCCAGAAGCTCCGTCGGAAGCTCTCTCCAGGAGCCTCCAGAGTTCTTCGAGAGGCCTTCGCACGCCCCTCTGGCGCCAACGAGTTGGTCATCTCCCATTGCCATTAAGTCGGGCACGTGCCTCTACAGGAGGAATCTTCAAAAATAGTCAAAAAATAGTCTGGGACGATTTTCCGACTACTATGTCTGATTGTTTGACATTTTCCCATGTTCTACCAAAATATGCCTGTAGGAGGACATGCCCGGCCTAACATCACTACCCGTTCGAGCCCCGAGGATTTTGGGAAGCAGCGCCGGCTCGTGCCCTCCGGGCGCTTCGAGCGGTTCGACGAGGTGATGCTGGAAGAAGGCGTGGACTGGCCCGAGCGGCGCCCTGCTCGTCGCTGTCGTCGTCGATTGTCGTCGGCGTCGGTCGTGGTCTGTCGCGGGAACGTAAGATTCGAGTAAACGCCAGATCTCGGATTTGCCGGCGCTTCTCGACGAGCGCGTCTCAGCGGCACCGTAACGGGTATGTACTAACGAGTACTTTGGAAATTTGCCGAAGTTGCCTGTTTAGTGTTTCTTTCTGGCGTTTCAGCGTTGCCCACATCCGGGAGGGTTGGGTTCGTCAGGTCATTGGCCAAAGTACCCGTTAGTAGAGTCCTCGTCAGGGGCGCTGAGCGTCTCAGATTTTGACGGATAAGTGTTCGTGGGATGTCTGCAGTGGGAGCCCGCGCCAATTTTTTTACATTGGGTCTCGTGATTTTCATGATGGCCCAGTCAGGCCAACCCGAGTCCCCCGAACCCGAGCGTTACGCCTCCCCGAGTTCGGCGGCGCGGACAAAGTCGGAGGAGGAAAAGGTACTGATATTGTTACCCTGACCTCGGTTTCGCCTTGTGGGGCCTCCTGCGGAACTCTCGTCACCACGGCTGGATTCGCCTCGAACTCGAATCGGGACGTCGTTCTCTGAGGTCTGGGTCTAGGCGTTGCATTCGTTTCACACGGGGGGTTTTGCCAGGTTTCGGACTCCGAGGCCTGCACACACAGATATATACATATATATACATATGTATATATATATACATATAGAGATATATACGCAACATATGTGGATATGTCTATACACGATCACACATATATTCACCCACATAGGTATACACACATATGAAGAAAACGCGTCCCTACAGAGAGATATGGCTCGATAAATGTAGCAGACAGATAGGGTCTAGGGCTCCAGTCGCTATTGTCGCTGTGTTGAATGCTTTGCAACATCGGATTTCAGCGCTTTTGAGGCTGCGCGCACAAAGGGAATGGCGCGAGAAGGGGGGAGGGATTATGAGAAAGTGTGGGAGGGTGTTCTTGTAATACAGCCTCCCAGGATTCGGGAGGCTTTATCGGAAGCCCCTCGGGTCTTCTTGGAAGGCGTTTGTCGTCCCCAGATTATGAGTAGGTCAGACATGTCATGCTAAACACTCGTTCGCGCTACCAAGACGTCGGCGCAACCGCGGCGTTCTCCTTCAGTTTCTGCCTCCCAGGGGCCATCTTCGGACCCAGAGGCCATCAACAATGATCCCAGGTCGAGCTACTGCCTTCCAGAAGATGGATATACCTTGGGGCCCGCGGATGATAACAATTGGAGTTAGGATGCAACTCCCAGGAGGCTCAATTCATAATCGGTGCTGGTCAATCCCTGGTCGAAAACTGGCTTGATCTGAACTCCGTTTAATCCGCTCCCCAGCTTGATCTGGCCTAATCTAGCTCAATGGCAAGCTAATCGGGTTTAAACATAGGGGAAGGAGAAGCCACACCACCACCACCACCACCACCTCCACCACCAACAGGGGGGTCACGTCCAGCGAGGAGGTCTACGATGCCTCCCTGAGCGGAGGATAGGGGATGCCGGGGGGGCCACACCACAGGGGGACCCCCCATGGCCTCTCCCCCTGGTGGTCCCGGGTGGTGGCGGTGTCGCTTGTCGTTCTTCCCATTGTTTGATGACTTTAGTTAGCCCTTCACCTTTCTGACGAAGATCTCCGCAGAGCTGCCACCTAAGATGCATGGACCGATGACCCAGGAACGAAGAGGAGATGATGTTCCATGATCGAGGAGCGGGGATCGGGGATCGAATGAGTGGGGTCCATGATCCTGGGCAGGGCTCGACCTCAACGGTGTTTGGGCGATTCCGTGGGCCGTTTTCGCCTTGACTCCGTGCTGCAGCGAAGCCGGAACCGAGACGAAACGAAGGAGAGCGACAACAAAACGAAACCGACAGCCTCTGTTCTGGTCGAGCCCTGGTCCTGGGTGGCTGTGGCGAGGCGGGAAGAGCACGTCAGTGGGGGCGTGGGCGTCGCCGTTCCCGCAGGGCTCGGGCGTCGCAGGCAGATGCCGCGGCTCCGTCGAGACGCCGCCTCTGGATCAGGAGCACGGCGAAACGTTTTGTTGCGTCGGCGGCTAGGCTTCAGTCGGGCGTGTCCCTCTAAGGAGAACTACCCAAGCATAGTTGAAGCATAGTCTGGGGACGATGTCGGGAGCATTTTGGGGCATGCGTTGAGTATGTCTTGACATTGTTTTTAAATGTTTCGTCCAGAATGCGCTTGTAGGAGGACGCGCCCGATCTAAGGCTAGGCAGGGTTCGTCTGCGCTGGCGAGGTAAGCTAAACTAAACGGGGGCGCCGTTGTAGCGAATTTCGGGGGCGGCCAAGAGGGGGGTGATGACACGGGGGGGGTGTATGTCATCGTGGGGGCCATGATATCTCCCGAGATTGCATGGCGCCATGTGTTCCAATACGTCCCCGCCGCCCCCCTGGGCCGCGCACGTGCCGCTGGCCATGAGCTGCTCCTGGATGCCCTCGAGAGTTGGCCTGCGTGCAAGAGCGGGGAAAAGGGGGAAAGACGTAGGAGGAGGAAGAAGAGGAGGAGGAGAGGGAAGAGGAGGGGAAGGGGGAGGAGGAGCAGGATGAGGAGGAGGATGAGAGGGTTGAGGTTGGACGATGAGATTGGAAGGAGGGGTTGGGATTGGACGAAGGGGCGGAGGAGGACGAGGAGGAGGAGGAGGAGGAGGAGGAGGAGGAGTAGGAGGAGGAAGAGGGGGAGGGGAAAGGCGAGGGCCACGCAGGTCGGACGGGTCACAGCCCTGTGTGGCTGGCGCGGCCAGCCCTGCCGGCGGGGATTGCATCAGCAGCGGGGGGGCACGGCAAAACGAACAATTCCAACGGTAAGGAAGTTGTCCACCGAAACCGCCTGGGCCGCCAGGGTGTCCGAAGGTCGTTCGGAACAAGTTCGACAAGTTTGGATATGGTTACAAAGATGATCAGGGCAAGGCCCCCACCAGGGGAAGCAAACACGGTAGAAGAAGCGCCGGAAACGTACATAAACAAACGGTACAACACATACTGTAGTGTACAGTCTTCTGCGCCGGAAATTACAGTCTACTGCCTGCCCGAAGCTGCTCAGACTGACGCTCCGTTTCCGAAGGAGCGCCCCGGACGACCTTTGAGGACCTTGAGGGGGGGACCGCCTTTGTGCCACTAGCAGGCTGACCAAGTCCCAAAAAGTGGTCCCCTGTCAGGGGCAACGATAGGGTGGAATATGCATAGGGGTCGATGCATCGACCCCCAATCGCCGATTGATCGCCTTGGGTGCCCGATAGCCCCAACTTGCCCAGGAACGTGCGGATTCACTATCGGGGCCCTATCGCCGATCTATCGGCGATGCATCGCCGATTACAGGTCGATGTCCCCCTTATGCCAGTCCCAAGCTGCTGTTGCCCCTCACCCTGGAGCCCCACCCGCATCGATGGCGGTTTCAATATCCAACTCAGCTCTACAGCCGAAGTTCTTGGCATCGCTCGGACGTGGGCATGTTTTCTCGGCGACGGCCATCGAGGAGCATCCTGGATCATCTTGCAAGAAAGTGCGCACGAAACTGAGCAATGCACGGGGAATCGACGTCCGAGCGATGGCAAGAGTTGAAATCTCAAGCTCGAGCCTTGGCAGCCCGCTCTGGTGCCGAAGGCCACTGACCAGCTGCAATTCAGATGAGGTCGGTCGCCGCTGTTCCTGACACGTTCTGCGGGATAAAGTGTGGCGATCCATTTTCCGCGTTAGGCCCTCTCCGGGATTGTGTGATTGACGCGCGGATCAGCATTCAGATTGTGGAGCCTCTCCTTTCGCTTCCCGCTCCCTCTCTTTCAAAATGGCATTGAACATAAGGTATGAAGAGGAATCGATTCACTCGCGACGCGCAAGAAATGTGCACGGCGGTGCGGGATAAGAGGAGCAGCTTGTGTTTGCACCGTGGCCTCTGGGGAAGGTGCGATGGCGTCTAGGATATCAGCAGGGCGCGACCTGATTCATATCGAAGAAGGAAAACCAGCGTAAACCTATTTGTCTGAGCTCCTCACGGAGTTCTTGGATCTGCGATGGACCCTCTTGGTGGCGCCTCTAGCGCCGCCCCTGTCACCAGGGTGAGGTGTCCTGCGCCGATACGAAAATGCCGCGCGGAGCGCCGACAATTCATTTAATTATGTTTCTAACAGCATCAATGACTTTGTTAGCTCGGGCCTCGGTGAGCTTGTCTAAGAGACAATTGAGCTCTGGGACAAGAGTAAAGTCGAGCACACGGAGAGACAAATTGTTGTGTTGATGTTTTTTCGCGGAGGCTGAAGGCACACAGATGGGGCTGGCGGCAGGGACAGACGGAGGTTAGAGTCAGAGGAATAGTGCCAGGCAGATGCCGAGAGAGAGAGAGAGAGAGTTGATGATCCTCATGACGTGTGCTAGCCCAAGCGTATGTGTTTACCCATTTCGGTTCCGCCGATCCCTTGCAGCCTGTTCTGGCCCACGTTGCACGGCCGGCGTCGTATTCAAGGGGCTCTGTGGCGTCCCGAGGACCATCGAGAGAAAGAGAGAGAGAGATAGATCGACAACAGGGAGGGAGATGGACATAGCGAGAGATGGAAGGGCACATATAGGGGATTGACAGAGGCATCAGCAGAGACAAAGAGAGAGCGCGGGAGAGCAAACAAAACAACGAACAAGAAGTAGCTGAGCAAATAATTAGTTAACAAACAACGATCGGCCACACTACGGACGAAGCAACAAACACAGTGAGGCAGTTACGTTGGCAGGCAGCATCCAGAGGCAGAGACAAGTAGACAGTCGGAGGGACGGAGAGTAATCAATTCACAGGTAGAAGTCCGACAGACATACAGACAGGCACAGCGAGAAAGAGAGAGAGAGAGAGAGCGACAGAGAGACAGAGAGAGATAGAGATGGATACGTACGAAACGCGTGTCGCTGGATTTATTCCCTTCGCCACCGCAAGCGGTGCACAGAGAGGGAGACATACGGCAGCATACAAACCGTTACGTACAGGCAGGCAGGCAGACATATCACCAGACAGACACATGCAGTCATGTTGAGCGAGAGGGAGGGAGGGAACCAGTGAGTGAGAGAGATAGAGAGAAAGGCGTATACTTCGATGTGTAGAAATAAAGAGAGGGATACAGAGAGAGAGAGAGAAAACAAAACAAGCGAGCTACAGACAGCAAGCAGACAGACACACGGCCATCTATTGACATCTTGGCACAGTCCGACAGGCGACATCGCCATACATACACAGATAGACAGAAATGGAAGTAGAGACACAATGCTGAGTCAGCCTCTGGCAGACGGACAACGTGCACAGAGGCAGAGACAGACCGACAGACAGGTGAACGGGGATAGCCAGCAGTCCGAACCTGCTACAGACGCAGTCGGACGAAGGCAGTGGCAGACACATAATGTATTGACAGGCCGACAGGGAGAGAGAGAGAGAGAAGGAGAGAAAAACAAAGGGAGAGAGAGAGAGAGAGAAAGAGATAACGAGAGAGAGAGAGAAAGAGAGAAAGATAGAAGAGAAAGAGAGAGAGGGAGAGAGGCAGCAGTTAGGTAAGTATACCTCGGCACGCACGCCTGGGCAGGCAGACGAGCAGCCGAGCGGGTTAGGCAGTCGGGCAGAGAGGCGGGCAGGCGTGCAGGCCTGCGTGCAGCCGCCTCGCACCGGCAGGCCAGCACAGCAGGAGGTCGCACGGGCGAGGGAGTCCACGAGCAGCCCGTGCAGCAGGACGCGCGAGGCGCATCCGAGCCTGCTGGCCGACGACTCTCCACACGTGCACGGCCTGCCCTCCTCCTCCTCCTCCTCCTCCTCCTCCTGCGCCCCCTCCTCCTGCTCCTCCTCTTCCTCCTCCTCACCCTCCTCCTCCTCCTTTTCCTCCTCTTCCTCCTCCTCCTCCTCCTCCTCCTCCTGTTCATCTTCGTCCTCCTCCTCCTCCTCCACCTCCTCCCCCTCCTCCTCCTCCTCCTGCTCCTCCTCGATCCTCCTCCCGCCCCCCGGGCAGGTACCGCAGCTTCCGGTGGGCGGCCCACTGCCCCGACCTGGAGAGCCTGCGGCTGGCCGCGGTCGGCGCGGCGGGGCGCCCCCTTCCGCGGCGCGTCGGCTCCCGCCAGGACGGGCCAGTGTCGTGGATCGTGGCATCGCTCGGGCGCGTGCGTTCTCGGCGAGGACATCGGGGGCGGCAAAGAGGGGTCTGTGTGTGGATATCACGACGTTTCAACGGAGGCCTACCGGCCTGCCGATGTCCGCCGATTCGACCTTTCCCGACTCGGCTGCCGATTTCCGCCGATCCGATTCATTCCGATCGCCGATCCGGCTCATCGATTCGATGTTGGGCCCTCTTGCCTTCGTGGCGCATCGGGTCCCACCATGACAGGCTAGTGTCGTTGATCTCGGCATCGCTCGGACGCGTCCTTTCTCGGCGAGGAACATGGAAGAGCCCTTTGGGGTCATCGTGCGAGGCGATGCACGCAGGAAGCCGAAGCATGCACGGGGAATGGGCGCCCGAGCGATGGCACGCGAGCGACGAAGGACAACGGGTTCTTCTGCGCGGACATTGGCGCGTAGGCTGCCCGCGTAAGGTCGCGCGTGAGCTCCCGCTCCGATCCGACCTCGCGCTTCGATTCCGCTCAGTCCTGCCCGTGAGGCTGCGAGGCGCCTCGAGGCTCGACTTCCGATCGGCGTCACCCCCCGGGGCGACGTGCGCACCGAGAAATCTCATAGTACATGCGTCGTGGCGGGCGCTTCCTGGCCACACCGCTCGGGAAACGACGCACTACAAGACGGGTATGCTGTGTGTATTCGGGTCGGGCGCGCGCCTCCGAGGAGGACGTCGAGCATGAGTGTGTCTTTTGTGCGTCCCGTCCGGGGCGCCGACGGGGGTCCCTCCGAGGGGCCTCCGCGCCGCCCCCGGCCGGGACCCGCTCTCCGGCGAGCTTCCGGCCGGGGCGCGCGAGAGAGCCGCCGCGCGGCCCACCGGGCGGCGGCACCCCGTCCCGTCGAAAGACGGGGGGCGTCGGAGGAGGGCACGGTGCACCAAGCGACGAAAGAAAATTCGCAGAAGAAAGAAAAGCAGATGTTCGACTCGATGAGATGTATCGTAGATCCCCCGCGGCGGCTGCAGGCCATTTGCGAGTGGTTGCTTTGCGAGTAGCGGAACGCGCTCGTCTACCAGTGGGAGGGGCCTGTCATCGACGAGCGCGTTCCACTACTCGCAAAGTAACTGCTCGCAAATGGCCTGGATACACCGCAGGGGGATCTACGATAAGTTATATCAGAGCAGACACATGTTTTTTCGCACATTTGCTAGTAGGCACTTTGCGAACAGTGGAACGCACTCGGTGCTGTCAAGCTGTCGTCAGGCCTGCGCCGTGTTCCCAGGAGCAGGCACGCAGCTGAGCACAGGGGGGCGTGCGGGCGGCTGCGGAGCTCGGGCATGCAGAGGCGAGGTGCGGACGACGCTGCGATGTAAAGCGCGAGCACCAAATCTGCAAATCCAATTACAGGCGAGCGCGCACAGCTCGACGATGAGACTCGTAAAACACTCGAGCGACTTACCGAACACGAAGCGAACAACATACCTAAAAGGTACCCATGCCGTGGCCCTTCCCTCGTGTTTCCCCTTTTCTGGGCCTCCTGGGAGACCCTCGTCGCCACCGCCGGATTCGCCTCGAAATTCTGGTCAGACACCCCGAGGGAGATCGGGGGAGTAACGGTATCGGAGCCTGCTGGTTTAGCCAGACGAGGGAGGCAAGATAGACGGGGAGAGACGAGGCTCCTCCGAGGGGGAGAGAGGGATGAGCGGGGGGAGGGCGAGGGAAGCCAAGGTCCAACGTCCAGTGATCGATGACGCGCGCAGCAGGAGGAGCAGCAGCTGGATCGTGAGAGGAGTCCGGGAGGTCGAGGATCTCACCTCGTGCCGCTAAAACATGATTCGGAAATTGGAGCATAGACATTACCAGTGGCGGCTGGTTTTTCAATCCCAGGACTTTCTTGAGGGTTGGGGACGACGTGTGGTGTGGTCTATACTTTTTCCCCGTTTCCCCAGGGAAACAACGAAGAATGTATACACCAGGATCCCGTATACACCAGGATCCGCTTTCCTGTGCAAGATCCAGTGTGCGGCCAGACAACGGCGTCGGTGTATAGAGTTCGGCTCCTTAATAATGTCTCGGAGGTCCGCGTGAAGGGGATCCATTGCCGATCCACGAAATCTTCGCGGACTCCCGAGAGTTTCTGGTTATCTTAGTTTCCGTTCTCCGACTGCAGCCCCGCAGTTCGTTTTCCCCGTAAGGCAAGCGTGTCCCCACGGCGATGTCGGGACGTTGCGGGACGTGTGCGGGAGGGTCACGTTGATGAGGAGGATGCGGGAGCTCGCATGAGGCGAAAGGGGAATTTCCGCCTCGTCTCTCCCACTCCTCCGGCTCTCTCCCGTGCCCCTCTGGCTCCAGGTCAAGATCGCCAGGTCCTTCGACCTGGAGAGCAACGGCTTAGAAGAGGCGGGGGGGCAGTGGGAGGAGCGTGAGGAGGAGCATGGGACGGTGAGTCGCCAGCCCTCACCTGGGTGCTGTAATCCAATGTGGTGTGACAATATTGCGACGCAGAGACCCCATGAACAAAGGAAGCAGCCTTACGCCGAGGCCAACAAGAGACGAACACACCAGACGCGTGCCCTAGCTGCTAAGAGACGCGCCACACGTGTGCGCAGACAGCCCAGACCCGTCAAATGCGCGCCAGGAGACCAGGAGGAGGAGGAGGAGGAGGAGGAGGAGGAGGAGGAGGAGGAGAGGAGGAGGAGGAGGAGGAGGAGGAGGAGAGGGATGAGTGGAGAGGGAGGAGCTGAGATCCCCATGGGTGCATCAATTATTTTGCGCGTTCATGTCTGAGAGTAATTAGTGGTATAAGCGATTTCGTATGCGTGGTCTTGCGCATGAGCGCGTGAATGTGCATGGGCCAGCGGAGGTGAGGTTGAGTATGTGCGGCTATACAGGCGCGTTTGGGTGTGGACGGTTTGATTGTGAATGGTTCGGAGTATTAGTCGTGGGAAGATATTCGGCAATGTGAGCGCCTGCGAGGCCCCCCGCAATCTGGGCGCTAACGGGCCCGTGTCATACCCTTCAGCGACCCACAAGCAGTGCTTGCTACATCTCGGTGAGCATGTGGCCCAGGGAAGGAGCGCGTCCATTTTCTAAAACGGTCGTTTCGACTGAGACATCCCTACAATATGTTCGCGACTGGGCCCGTGACACACCCCTGGCCGTCACCCTCTAGGGTGGGCCAAATGCCACCCATCCTTGCTACATCGCAGTAACCATGGGGCTCTGAGAAGACACGTGTCTACTTTCCAGAATGGTTCGCCCGAGATATCCCCACAATATGGGCCCGAACGGGCCCATGGCACACCCGTGGCCGACACCTTTTTGAGCGGGCCAAATGCAACGCTCGCTTGCTACATCGCAGTGCTTCCACAACTGACATTTCGCCTGAGGCAGTCCCCACGATCTGGGCGCGAATCGGCCCGCGAAATGTCAGTTTTTGGGCCGAACTCCATGCCTGCTACATCGCAGTAATCATGGGGCCCTGAGAAGACGCGCTTCTACTTCCCAAAACGAGCGTTTTGCCCCAGAGATCCCCACAATCTGATCTGAGCACGAAAATGCAAGTGAAACATCCTTGGCCGACACCTTTCCGCTGGTCCAAATGCGTGACATTCTGCATCGCGGTGGCAATGGAGCCATGAGAAGTCACGTCTCTTCTTCCAAAAGTCAAGTGGAGCTTGGCACGTCCCCACAACATGAGTGTGAACGGGCAATACATCCCTGGCCCACACCTCCTCCTTGAGTGTGTCAAGTGCCATGTCGGCTACATCGTGGTGACCATGGGGCCATGAGAAAACACGCACGGGTTTTCCCGGTATGCCGTTTCAAGCGAGACATCGCCAGATTTTTGCCCGCGAATGGAATTGTGAACCATTTTTGGCTGTCACCCGCTGGGGTGGGCCCAAGATTGATGCTTCGTGGTAGCCACTGGACCCTGAGAAGAAGCACGTCTGCGTTCCAAGCTTTGCGTTTCGCCAGGGACATCCCCACAACCTGGGCTCGACAGGGCCCGCGAACTACCCATGTCCGTCACCCTTGTGGGTGGTCCAATTGCCACGCCTGATACATCGCGTTGACCATATGGTGTCTTGATAAGACACACATCTGCTTTCCAAAAGTCGCGCTTCGCGGGACATATTCCCACAATCTGGGCGCGAACGGGCCAGTGAATCGTTCCTTTCCGTCACCACTTCGGGTGGGCCGAATAGTTTGCTTGCTATATCGCAGTGGCCATGGGGCCCTGAGATACCGCGCGCCTATCTTCCCAAACGGGCGGTTCGCATAAGACATCCCCAGAATCTGGGCTCGAAGGGGTAAGTGAAACGCCCCCTTCCCTCACCTCCTCGGGTGTAGGGGGCCACATGCGAACCCTCCCCCTCAGAAATCGTGGGGGGTGGGGGTAGGGTTTGCATGTGGCCCCCTACATAGGGGGTCCTGAGTGGACATGCCTCTGCTTTCCAGAGCGGGCGTTTCGCGTGACAGATCCCTGCAATACGTGGGTGAACGCCGCCAGTGAAGAGCACCCCTGACTGACACGCCCTTCCGGGTCGTCCGATGGGCATGCAGCTGCATCGCCGTGCGTGCGTCCGCGTGTGAGCGCATCCGGGTGAGGCAGAGCACGAGCGGTCCCGAATGCGAGGGAGTCTTGGCATGACCGAGCCCGGGTTCCGTGGTCTCGAGTGCGAGTGGGCCCGAGCGTGGGCGTGCGGGCGTGCCCGAGTGTAGGCGTGAAGGCGAGCGCGAGTGGGTGCGAGCGCGCGAGCGCGAGTTTCAGTGCAGCCAGGGCGTGGGAGGCCTTGAGTGCGAGCGAGTGTGAGTTGCGCGTTCGATCGCGAGTGCTCTGCCCTCACCACCTGTGTTTCCTCCCTCCCGTCCCTCCCTCCTTGTCTCCATCTCTTGTCCGCCTCGTGGAGGGGGGGGTGGGGCGATGGAGAGGAGGAGGAGGAGGAGAAGGAGGAGGAGGAGGAGGAGGATGAGGAGGATGGGGAGGGGGAGTGGGGGAGGGGGGGGGAGGAGGAGGAGGAGGAGGATGGGGAAGGGAGGAAGAGGCATCCGTGAAGGCGGACGAGGAGGGGGATGGCAGAATGAGGGGAGACGAGGTCGGATCAAACAGTTTTGCAGATCGTGTGGTTGGTTTCTCCTGGAATGGGGAGACGGGGGAGTGGAGGTGGAGGGCGCAAGGGGGTAGGGCGCATTGTTGAGGGGATAACTAGGGACGAGTGGCGCGGGTCGGAGGAATGGGGAATGGGGGAAGGAAGGGCGATGCGGAAGGGGAGAGGGAGAATGTATATGTGAAGGGGGACAAGGGAGGAATGAGGAGTGGTGGGGAGAGTAGGGGGGAGCGAGGAGGGAGGAAATGAAGAAGGAGCGGGGAGGAGGAGTGAAGATGGAGACGAGAGGGGGGATAAAGGTTCAATATTCGAATCTGAATGATATCCAATTTCAAGAGGAGTTGGCGGGGTAGTGGAGTGCAGCAGAGGCAAAGTATGCCGCGCTCCAGAGTGAATTTGGAGGGGCAGGCAGCGAGATACACAGGACAGTGCCACGTCTTCGTATCCAACTTGAGCAATTCGGGGATCCACATGTCTCCACAGCATGACGTCGTGATCAGCAGGTGTGGCCAGAAAGGAAGCCGTCGGTGATATCGAATAGGTGAACTCGGAAATGCAGCCAGGCCTCTCTCTACCAAACAACTATTACTCACGCCCTTAATGCAACTACCACCATTGTTTTTGGACGATCGCTGCCACTGCTACATCTACAGCTTGTTGCCCTTTGTTTTCGGCCGCTCATATCTGCAGTAATATCGGGCATCGGCGCAGAGCCTCCGGCAAGGTGCGGCGGCGCCTGTCCTCGGAGCTCAGGACCCGCACCCGCTTGCGCGTTTCCCTCTCTGACCGGCTCGGATGCAGCTCCTGGTAGGTCAAATGTTGACTTTGCCCTGGTCAGAAAGCCGGGTGATCCAGTTTGGTCCGGCTTAATCCAGTTTGGTCCGGCTTAATCCAGTTTGGTCCGGCTTAATCCCGCCTCATCTTGTTCATCCCGCTTAATGCGCGGCCTAAGCTGGCGTAACAGCCCCCCAGTGAGGCTTGTTTCTCCCTAATCCTTCTGACGAAGACCTCCCGGTGTTGCCTCTCAAGATTGGTCATCCCTGAGCCCGGGCCCGGAGCATATTTGTTACATTATGCTATGTTCGTCCACCTTTACGTTGCAGACGGCTGCCCAAACGCCTTGTGTATACTTCATCTAACGCCTGTCGCCTGGAGAAGCGGCCAGTCAATTATACCTTATCAAATGTCACGTGTCGTTTCTGCGAAGCTCTAATGGTCAGGGCCCAGATATTTTAGTCTATATACGCGCGGTTCCCACTGAGATCCGGGTGTTGAAATGTTTTCATGCTGGGCGTTTGCTCCCCGATTTGGGCCCTGGGGCCATCACAAATCGATCTCGCTCGCAAATTGCCGCAGAAAGAAGGGGTCCAGAGTCCAGGGTTCCCGTCGTGATTTGCCTTGATGTGGCAAGTCGTCCGAAGCGCCAGATGTCAGGGATTGACGGCGCGCATCCGAGCAAGGCCATCCCAGAATCATTAGTTATTGCTTGCCACGGGCCTGGCCAGGAGCACTGCCCAAGCTGCCCTCCTGGTTCTGCATCCCATGAGCACCGACTCTCGAAGGATTACGATGTCTTTTGACATCACGACCAGGCCCTCATACTCAACCCCAGCTTTCTGTGACATTTCTCGGGCCGGATCCGCGAGTTCCCTGGGACCCGAATCTGCGCAAAAACGCCTGTGTGAAAAAATGCGACGCCCAGATTTCAGATTCCCATAGCATTTGCTTGGACATTCGCTCGTCACGCTCCACGTGACCCTCTTGGAAGTCTTGTGGTCGTGGGGTTCTCAGCGGCCTTGCTGGAAACTCTTACGACCGAAAAGGCGAGAAGGCATCAGCGTACCAAAACGAATGGCTCGAGACGACTGGCGTATCTAGCTGTCCAAGAGGGCCTCCCTACACGGACTGAACGTCCTAGAACAGCCCAGGTCTGGATTCTTTGTTTGGGGGGCATCTTGAAGCATGTTGGAGATTTGGATTTTGACAGCGCCCCGGAGGCCTCGGGCCAGGTCGCGCGGAACACCTCGAGAATGCGAGAGAGCATCCGACGGGCGCAGGTATCGGTCGCGGGTGGACGGGTATGATGTGGATGTATACAGTTATCATTGTATATTTCCGGGTATATATAGGTCACCCTCGTGTTCCGTATTGCGTCAATCTGTTTCATTTTCTGAGGTATAATGTCCAGTTTCGTCTTGATAGTTTATAAGGCGCGGAAGTCCTCTGGCCTTCCGAGATGTTCTCTAAGTTTTCCCTTGAGACACAGCTAATTCCTCAGAAGGCCGCAGGATCTCTGAGAAGCCCCGCCGCCTTCTGCGAAGGCTTCTCTTCCTTCTCACTCCCCCCCTCGCTCGCCGCCGATTCGATCCGCCCTTTTGTCGCCCTGTCCCTGCCTCTCCCCTCTGCCCCCTCATCTCCCTCTCCATCCGCCCGCCTCCCCGCCTCCAGACCTCTCCTGGAGCGCGCTCTGTGACCAGCATCTCGACGCACATGCAGCCATGGCGACGATGGCTCTGTGACCAGCATCTCGAGGCGCACGCAGCCAGGGCGACGATGGCGCCCCCTGCAGGCCCACATGCCACACTCAAATATATGAAAACAGGAAGCCCTCCTTCCTGGGCGCATAGCCTTCCAGAACCTTCGAAGACCTCAAGTTCTAAAAGCACCCCTTGCGCTTCTGTTTTCTGGCGCACGATCTGGCCAGCATCTCGAGGCACATCCAGCCGTGTCAAAAATGGCGCCCTCCCAGGAGGCCCAGAGACCCCCCTTCCCAGACGGTCCACAGCCTCGATCCTCGATCCTCGATCCCTCCTCCTGCTCCAACCGTTCCCTCTCCTCCCTTCGTTTCCGAAGGAGGCGGCTGAAAACCACATCCATCTTTTGCCAGGGCCATCCTGGGGCCCAGCCATGGTGGTATTGTGAAGGCCTTACGGCCGGTGGTGCCGACCCAGAAGAACAACGACGAGACGACGCTCTGGAGCCCCTTTTTGGGGCTCTCTTGGGGCTTCCTCTGTTGGGGTTGGGGCACGGGCCAGGGCCAGGCTGGGGCCTGGGCCTGGGCCGGGGCTGAGGCTGGGGTGCCAGGGCCGGTGCCAGGGCCAGGGCCGTGGCGGGGTGTCCGGGGTTGGGGCCCGGGTCCCGGCGCCAGGGCCAGGGCAGGGGGCCGGGTCGGCGCATTTTTTTGGAGAGGGCCAAGATTTGGTGAAGTTCTGGCCCCCTGACCGCGTCCATCCTGGATCGATTTCCGACGGTCCCAGACCCCGAAGCGGGCCTCCAGAGTCTGAGAATTACAACATACCTCCTCGAGCTCGCCCCTCCCTGAACATTCGGGTGCCTTCCGCGGGAGTCGTGCTTGTTTTTCCTGAATCAATGTTCGATGGTATTGGATCCCGAATTTGGCCCCCTGGGGCCGAAGTTGGGCGGGGGGCGGGGGCGCGATTGAAGCCAACCGTTCTGCCAGAGGTCTGGCCTCCTCTCCTCTTCCTCCCTCCCTCCAGATAGGAGTACAGTGCACAGCTGGTGTTCAGGATCCCCTCGGGAATCGGAATTTCTCTCGTGATCTGGACCCCTGGGGATCTCGACTCCTTCGGGGGGTGGGGGGGCTGTTCAGCGAGAGTCGTGTTCTGACGGCCTTGGGACTGGGGAGCGGACCCCAGAAGCCGAACACGTATGACACATTGTCGTCATTTGGACCGCAGTTGGCCCGTCCTCCTGCTTGGTCCTCCTCCTCCTCCTCCTCCTCCTCCTCCTCCTCCTCCTCCTCCTCCTCCTCCCGCCGCGCCGGCGCCCCGATGCAACCCGCTGGGGAACCGTGCTGCCCCCGGGGCCGCGCCAGGCTCGGGCACCAGCGGTTCCTCTCGCTCGACGCGGCGCGCGGGCCTAGCGCTGCCCGGCTCACGGGAAAGAATCGGGCCGGGCGAAAGGGGGGGATTGGGAAAGGGGGGGTTACGAAATTTGCTGCATGCAGCTGGTTTCGGCCTCACCGAGGGGCCCATTCCTCGATACATCGCTCCATCCGGCGCCGGGAGGCGCCGGGAAAATCAGCTACGTGAGCTGATTCTCAAACCCCCCCTTTGCTATCCCCCCCTTTCGCCCGACCCGAAAGAAGGCCTCAGGCGCAAAGAGGAGGAAGCGAAGACGCCACAGACATCAACTTGCCGCCAGAAAACGCCATAAACATAAACGCAAACAGAAACGCCCCCAAAAAACGCTATGAAAATATAAAGAAAAAGCGCCACAACGCTGGGGGGAACCGTGTTGCCTCCGGGGGAGAGGCTCACGGGCTGGCGCGGTTTTTCGCGCAGGGGGGGAGAGGGCAGCGGGCAGCACGGGGGTTCCCCCCTCAAAGGAGGACAAGGTACCCATACCGCTACCCGTGTCTCGTTTTCGCCGTATTGGGCCTCCTGGGAGGCCCTCGTCGCCACCGCTGGATTCGCTTCGAAATCCTGGTCAGAATTGGCCCCAGGAGAGGTCCAGGGAGTAGCGGTATCAGTACCTTTTGGTTTCCCCACCAGAGACCACCTTGAGATGCGGGCGGTGTTTTTTCCCCACCCCGGGCGTTTTAGCGTGGCTTCGGGCCTTGGGATCACCGCAGAAGACGTTTGGATACGCGTGCACTTCCGTTCCGTTGGACCCCAAGGGGCCCACAGAAATTTGCGACAGATGCGCGTTCGCAGCCACCCAGGGAGCACCGAGGTCCAGTCTGGGTGCGCGTGGCCCCTGACCCTGCTGTACCTCCATGGGGCCCACGAAAATGGTGGCAGTTGCGCAGGTCGCTGCCGCCCAGAAAGCAGCGAGGTCCCGTCTGGGTGTGCGTGGCCCCCGCTTCCGCTGGATGTCCCAGGCGGCCACTGAAGTGGTGACAGTTGCGCAGTTCGCAGCCCCGCGGGGAGCCGCGAGGTTATTGTTTGGATGCGCGCACGCTTCCGTCCCGTTGGACTCCCAGGAGCCCACGGAGAGTGGCGACAGTTCTTTGCATCGCTCGGACGTGTGCATTTTTTCTCGGCGAGAACCATCGAGGACCATCCTGGACCATCTGGCAAAACAAAACACGCGCGAAACCGAAACATGCATGGGAAATGGACGTCCGAGCGACGGCAAGAGTTGCGCGTGCGCAGCAACCCAGGGGACGGCGACGTCCAGTCTGGGCGCGAGTGGCCCCTGACCCCGCTGTCAGAAGGTGGCAGCTGCGCAGGTCGGAGCCACCCAGGGAAACCGAGGCCCCGTCTGGGTTTGTGTACAGTCAACCCGCACAGGAAGGACGGGCAACCTTCCCAGGGGTACCCCTGCATCCTTGCCTCCTCGGTGCATCCTCGGCCACTTTCGTTGGTCGCGCCCCGCTCGAAAACTTAGAAACGGGCTTCCAAGGGCCTTGCATCCTTATCGCGCATCCTTACTATACGGGTTGACTGTACCCCGCGACCACCTCTGGACATCATCCCGGGAGTTTACGAAAGTGATGGCAGTTGCGCGTTCCCGGCCACGCAGGGGGCCGCGAGTCCCGCCTGGGTGCGCGGGGCCTCAATACACCCTTTGGGTTTCACAGGGGCCCACGAAAATCGTGACCGTGTGCGCGGTTCACACCTACCCGAAAACCAACGAGAACCCAACACACGAGGGTTGGGGAAATCCGAGGAAGCGGCCGAGTCGTGGCCGCCCTATGTGTGCGCAGCATCTCTGCGGCTCGCGGGGCACTGCGACCTGGCGGGGCAGAACGGCCCGCGAGAACAGCAAAGAGCAGCGGCACAGGGCCGAGCCTTGCTGGCAGATGAACGACGGAGGGCACGGGACCAGTTCGCTTTGGGGCCCCCCCATCTCCTACCCCTGGTCTTTGGAGAATGGCATTTTCCAGTCACGGCCGACGAACGGTCTCTACCGATGTTGTTTCAGATGACGGTATCGGTCGCGACCGATTTGCTTCAAAATCGGTCGCGACCGATCGATCGCGATCGGTGGCCACCCGTCGCGACCGATTTGGGGATCGGTCGCGATCGGTCGCTTCCGATTTGGAGTGCCGATCGGCCGCTACCGCTCGCGACCGAAAAATCGGGTACCCAATGATTTGGGAATGAAGGTATGGAATTGCCAAAAGAGCCCCCCCCTTCTCCTCCCCGGCCTCTTCTCGGGGGGGGCAGCTGCGCTCCAGGCGGCGAGAGATCATTTGCTGTTCTCCCCGGGGATATTTCTCGTCGTCGGTCGTCAGCGTCGTCGACGTCTCGCCGCTCTGCTACCTCCACCCCATATCTGGCGACCCACCGACCCCTCGTCGAACTTTTACTCCTCGCTCCTCGTTGTCGTCGTCGTGGCGCTGCGTTGTTATTCTCCCATCCCCACCCCCACCGTGAGGGGGATTGACCGTTATTATCCGGGTGATGTCGACGCACTGGGGCGGAAAGATCGCCACAGTGGGGGCGAGGCATATAACGCAAGTCACATAAAAAATGAAAGAAAAGGAGAAACCAGACATTGCATCACGCGTTTCCAAGGTTTGAGTAATTTCCCCTATCCCACATTTCAATGCGGAGCTGCGTTATATCGTTTTGAAGCGAACGTTGACAGTGCGTCGAGGTGGCTTGGCGATATTGATGCAGCCGCGTGCGGCCATAAGCAACTTGTAGCATGTCCTCATCCCACCGTATCTTTGACAATCGGAGCCAGGATGAGAAAAAGAACTCAGGAGGAGCACGAGGAGAGAAAAAAGGAATGGACAGCCCAGTAGAAAGATGGCAGAAGAAGAGGACAGCCCAGTAGAAGGATGGCGGAGGAAGAATAAGACAACGACGACCAACGACGAATTAACCGTAAAGCCTTCGCGGGACGTTCGATCGGCGACCCTTTCTGGGGCTCTTGGGGGAGCGTCTGGGAGGCCTCGTGGGGTATGTTAGGTGTTAGGAAAAGGTGATATCACCTCTGGGCACTTTTTCGCTGGGGGTCGCATTCGTCTCAACAAATGGTCATTTGATCAACGCTCCTTTTAAAATTCCTTCGGGAATTCTGCGCCTAGACCAGTATACGTTCAGGAAGTAGCTTCTGTTCCCGAGTTTGCCCGTTGCTGACTCTGGCCCCCAGAAGGCTGACCACTATGATTACCACACGGGAACGTCCCTGTCCCCGTGATCGGCACCGCCTCATCTCGATGCCGATCGGAAAGATCTCCTCAGTCTTGGATGGCGCAGCCATAAGATTGCCATCCCCTCTTGGCTTGTCAAGCCGAGGGGTGGGCAGGAGACCGGGTGCCACCTCCCGCCGGAGCACGGCAGCCGTTCGGCTCAGGCCCGCCCCTGCCGCGGGTCTCCCCGGCTCCGCGCGGCGGCCTCCCTCGCGCCCGGCTGCAGGCGCGCGCGCGGGGAAAGCGAGCGCCACGGATCAGAGTCGGCGGCGCGCCGGGAGGGGAGTCGGCGGCGAGCGAGGGGATGGAGCAGGAAAGAAAAGGCAAGGGACCGACCACAGCGCTGTTTCATTCGGCTTGGGCCGTTGTTATGCTATTCGTTTCGTTGTTCGCTTTTCTTTCGTTTCGTTGTTCGCTTTTGCTCTCAACGCCTCGTGCCATCGTTTCGTCTCGTGTGGCACCCATGTCACATGAGATGTGAGCGTTGGGTGTTGTTTCGCTTTCGTTTGAAGCGTCAGTTCGTTTTAGACATCGTTGTGGTCGGTTCTTGGGGGAAAAAAGCCTCTCAGAAGGTGGCGGGACTTCTCAGAAACCCTGGCATCTGCTGGTCAGTGTTTTGTGTCTTCGGGGTGGGCTTGGAGGACCTCTCAGAAGGCCATGGGACTTCCGAGCCTTCTGAGAAGGCCCGCCCCCATCTCCTTTCCCCCCCTGGGCTTGCCGCCGAGGTGCTTTTCTGGAGGGACTCTTTCGGGGGTCCGGGGCGGTGACCTCACCGCGCGGTGAGTCGGTGGGGATTCGGGGTCACCGCACGGTTTTGGGACTCGAGTCGGTCGCCGAGGAAGTCTCGGGCGACAGGGGCCTCTAGGGTCCAAAGACCATGCGGTGACGGACCGTGCGGTGAGGTCTTGGGGGATTTCGAGGTCACCGCACGGTCTGTCACCGCACCGTTTCTCCCAAGAAGGGCTCTTGGGCGACTACCCAGACCCCTGATGACATGCTCCCTGAAAAAGCTCAGGCCCATGCAGGGTCCTATCTCAGGATGGCAGTCTGCACCCGGTGCCGAGTCCGCGAAGAACAGCCCCAGCTCTGGAGGGTGCCCTGACGTGCTTCACCGCTGGTCCCCCCCGGGCTTGCCGCCGAGGGAAGGCCGACGGGGGCGGGCCTTCGCAGAAGGCTCCGACCGAATCAGAGATAACGGCATACCGTCGAATGGTTCGACGATGTTCGATCGTCGATCGAGTCGGTCGACAGCAAGTCATGGGAGCTTGGTATGCCCTAGTAATTGCGTCTTTAGCGTCGATTAGCGTCGATTAACGTCTGGGAGTCGATGAGATAGCGTCGATTTAACGTCGATTCTCGTCGACTTGCGACGTGTCGAGTAACGTCGCTTCGCAAGAGCCGACAAGATGGTATGGGAGTCTCCCATGAGTTGTCACCGAGCACTCGATCGATGTTCGCGCGGGATTCGATCGATGTTGGACGGTCCGCGCGGACCGTCGACAGGTTGTGTGTGCGTTCGCGTGCGCGTGCGTGCGTGCGTGCGTGCGTGCGTGCGTGCGTGCGCGTGTGCGTGCGTGTGCGTGCGTGCGTGCGTGCGTGCGTGCGTGCGTGCGTGCGCGTGTGTGTGTGTGTGTGTGTGTGTGTGTGTGTGTGTGCGTGCGTGCGTGCGTGCGTGCGTGCGTGCGTGCGCGTGTGTGTGTGTGTGTGTGTGCGTGCGTGTGTGTGCGTGCGTGCGTGCGTGTGTGTGTGTGTGTGTGTGTG